TGCAGGGCGGCTGGGTGTCCTGCCGAGGGGCAGCGCGGGGCGCCAGTGCTGGCAGGCAGCTGGAGCTGGGCTGGGGGGGCACGAGAAGGGCCATCAGTCCTCCCGCAGGACCAGGGCACAAGCCCAGTGTCCTGCCCCCAGCAGGGCAAGTCCTCCCCGAGCCTGGCTGCCCAGGAGTGCGGCTGCAGGATCCTGCGGGAGGAAGGGGGCCACAACCGGGGGCTCTCCAGGGTTGCAGGCAGCTGGGGTGTCGGGTCCAGTGGGCTGCATACTGAGAGCTCAGATGGTCTGCTGGGCATGGTCGCACATGGAGGGGTGGTCAGGAGGCCCGGGGCCGCGAGGAGGGTCCAAGAGGCCTGGCAGACTCCCAGGCTCCCGCGGCACCTCCAGGGCTGGGGGCTTGAACCTTCTCTCCGTGCCAATCTTTGTTGCCTTGCTGGGCAAGGGAGTCCTCAGGCCCAGGAAGGGGCAGGGCCAGTGTATGGGGGATGGTGAGCCTATGATGCCCATGCGTGGTGGGGGCCCCGCCAGGTGGACCCTTCAACGCTGTGTCCGTGGCCTTGACGCACCGTGGACAAAGACTGCACACCCAGGCTGACGCCCTGCCACCTCGAGGCTCCTAGTCTTTATTATTCGGGGAATGCAGGGTTCCCAGGGGGTGGGAGGCCTTGTGGGAAGCCAGACAGGCCCTGGCCTGGGCGCCTGAGGGTGCCCCAGTGGCCGCCAGGGGGCAGGGAGGGGCGAGGACAGATGGCTAGGTACCCCGTCTGCCTGGCGGTTATATGTGTGGCCTGCAGTTCGAGTCCCTGAGAGCCCCGCTGGGCCGTCTACAGCCTCGGGGGTGGCGCCGGGCGCCCTACACTCTTCCCAGGGCCCAGCTGCACCGACATGGGAGCAGGCAGCCGGCCTCAACCCGCACCCGCGACGGGAGCCCCGCACCCCACGCAGCCCCCGGAGCTGTGCGAGGCTCTGCCGCGAAGGCGCCACGGAGCAGCTCAGTCGGTGCTGCAGCCGCCATGCGTGGACAGAGGGGCAGGGGACACCGGGGTGCCGGAAGGCGCAGGTGCACAGAGGTGTTGCTGCCACCCAGGCCTGGTCCTGGGAGGGTGCGGGGGCAAGGTGCTACCCCCACAGCAGGCACCGCAGGGCTCCCGTTGGGCTCCCTGAGCCGGAGGCAGCCCGTGGCAGAGCTCAGACCCTGCCTCAGTGGATCTCCGTCCCTGGGGGCTACCTAACCCCTGCTCCTCTTCCCAAAGGCCCACACTGCCCTCGGGAGGTTCTGGAAGCAGTGGGTAGACGAGCGCTCCGGGGCCCGGCCAGGCCAGAAGCCTCTGTGGGCTGGAGGAGGGCACCTGGCGGGGAGTGGCGGCGGCGGGGCGCGTTGTGCCAGTCCATTGCACACAGGCCGGGGAACGAGCAGGCCGGTGTGACCACGGCCGCTGCAGACAGGGGCTGGCCGGGCAGGTGTGGGGCGGTGGCCTTGTGGAGCAAGTGGACCGATGTCGTCCACTGGAGACAGCTCTTCCAACCTCCCTCCCGCCCTCCGTGCTTCTGCGGCCTGCTGGGGACACCGGGATGGCCCTGGAGGCTCTGGCCAGGGCCCTGGCTGGGCGGGGGCCGTGGCCCACCCACCCTGCCAAAGCCCTCTCAGACGGTAACCCGTAGTTCCACCCCTACGGCTGGGAGGGGTGGGACCGCTATGGGTCCCACAGCACGGCGCGGGGCGGGTGACCGGCAGGTGCTACACACACGGACACGAGCCCCTGGTCTTGGGCGTCCCCCTCCTCTCTGGGGAGCGGGTCCAGGGCAGGCCCTGTCACGGGCGCCCTGCCAGGAGAAGCGCCATCACGGATGTGACCACAGCCCCCACCCCACTGGAGCCCGCCGGCCCACCCCGGGCCTGGCACCTGGAAGGGGGGGTCTGGTGGCCACGTGAATGCGTACATGTGCGTGCAGGGAGAGTATGCACCGGCACGAGGGGGTGGCGCACGTGTGAACAGGGGGGCGGGGGGGCGTGAGGACAGGCGTGTCCTTGTGCACTGCCCCCTGCCCGGGCTGGCGCTGGCTCGTCCATCCTGTTGCTCCATCACTCAAGCCCTCCCTACATGAGTCTGGGGAGGGGACCTGCTGGCCAAGCAGAGCTGGACCCGGGCAGGGGGCAGCGTGAACGGGGCCGGACATGTCTGCTTGCTGCCTGGGGACCCTACACAGGGACTCCGGCCTCGCCGGTGTTGGGAGGAGCAGCGGCCCGGCAGGCCTGGGGCTCCAGCTCTGGAGGCTCAGGGACAGGCACGTGTGCGTGCTTACGGGCGGACACGGGCTCCGTAGACGGTCAGCACGGACAGGTTTCCAGGGCTCCGGGGAGGGGCTCGCACGTGGGGAGCAGGCTGCCTCCTCCCTGCTCCACCCAGCACTGCGGTGAGGTAGTGGAAAGCCCTGTGCTCTTCTCAGGACGAGCCTGCGGTCGCTGGCCAAGCCCTGGCCCCCGGAAAGGGGGTGGCTGTCAGGACGCGGGCCAGGGAGGCCAGCTCTGTGCCGACTTCTGTGCCCTTCGGTACCTGTGCTGCGGTTCAAGCAAGGCAAGCGGTCCACACGTGTCCAGGCACTGGGAAGGCTGTGGGGCCCAGGGTAGAAGCAGCCCACCGCCGAGGGGCCTCGCCAGCAGGGAACGGTGTGCAGTGGGGGTGAGGCATCCCTGCCTCCACTGCCGGATGCCCCTCCTCGGGGCTGGACCCCAGCCTGAGTCAGGCCCCTGGCCCTCAGACACTGGAGTGGGGGCTCCTGAGGGCCCTGCCTCTCTCCCTGGCCCGGGCACCCAGGCCTCTCCAAGCTTCTAGGGTGCCCGTTCCTGCCGCCGACCCTGCAGGGACACAGGTCAGGTGGTGGTGAAGCGGGTGCCGGGGGGGCCTGTCCCAGCAGCTGCAGGGTCCGCTCTGTGCCATGAAGACCCTGAAGGGGCTGAGCTTTGCAGAATGCCGGGGAGCTGTAGCCAGAGCCTGTAACCACCAGAGACAGCCCCCCACACTGTGCCCACAGCTGGAAGAGCCCCATGCAGATGTGGGACAGAGGTGCAGACTGGCCTGCATGTCCCCCTCAAAAGCCGGCACACAGGGCACAAGGCCAGAAGGACCCTGCCGGCTGCTGGCCTGGGGCCTCATCCCTCACCAGCACCTTGGCCACCGCCAAAGCACGAGCCCCCCAGCACTCCCTCCCACCCATGTGACCCTCCTCACCACACCCTCTCAGGGGACAGTCCTTCCCACCAGCCCTTGCTCCCGGGCCCGTCTCCAGCCATCTGGGGGCCTGACCCTTCCTGCTTCAGCCAGACACCTGCTCCCGGCCATCCACCCCCCGACCTCCCCGCCCGTCCAGCCTCCCCGGGCTACCTCCCCATTATGTCCCCTCACCTCTGGGCCTTGGCCCTGCAGGCCACCCGGAGTGCTTGCGTCTTCCCTCAAATCCCCTCCCCCTCCGCAAACCCCCTACAGGACCCCCTCCCTCCCCTGCTTTGCGGGCTCAGCTCTCCCACCGGCCTCTGCCCAGGAACCTGCTCTCGCCCTGGCTCCCAGAGGAGGCGTCCCGCCCGAGGCGTCTTGAAACCTGCCGTGTACGCCGCACTCCACGGGCAGCCCTGTGTCCCAGAGGGCGACTCCGTCCCCTCCAGAGCCACCGCTAGCCTTGCACCTGGAGGTCCCGGGGGCTCACCATCCCGGCCGGGCAGCCCGCACCCGGCCCCCTGAACGGCACAGTGAACACCCCAGAGCCAGAGAGCCGGTGCAGAGCCGCTGCGGCCAAGCCCTCCCTCCCACAGGGGGCCCCCCAGGCGGGACAGCCCAAGCCACGGACACACTCAGGGACTTCCTACGGCGGGGGGCACGAGGGGGGCGCTGATGAAGTCCAAGCCACGTCCCCATCATGCGTCTGACAACAGGGCCAGGTGCCTCTGTGCGCCTCTCCCACCCCCAGTGGCCGGGCGCCCTGCCGTGGCCTTACCCCTCCAGGGCAGGCCACAGTGCCAGACGGGAAAGCACAGGCCAGAGCCTCAGTGGGTGTCTGCTCAAGTAGTGGCTTTTGTTTCACTGAACTCATCGTCCTGTCCAGCCTTCTAGGGGCCCGGCAAGCTGCAAGGTCCGGACACGTGTAGCCAAGGACCTCAGAATGCCCTACCTGCAGACTGCCACACCCTGGACATGGCCTGGCTCTGCCACTGTAGGGGTAGGTAGGGTGGCCAAGGCTGGGGCCTCGAGGGGCACAAGCATCTGTCCTGCCTCCCTGGCCGTGTCCAGAGCAGCGATGCCCACGCCAAGACCCTGAAAGTGGTCCCTGGGCCCCCAGGGGCGGTGGAGGGTAGCGGGAACCCTCCAGAGCAGTGCAGCCAGGCTCGAGGACCCTCTCTGCCCACCATCCCTCCGCGGACCCTGAGCCAGACCCCAGCTCAAACAAGATCCCGCTCTGCCTGACTCCGGCTCGGTGCAGGGCCAGCCCAACACCCAGGCCAGCCACACGGGCTGCGCAGGGCACCCCCCAGGGCAGCTGTGCACCCCGGGTGGCGTGGAGCCAACCATCCCACGTCTGCTGAGAGTGCGGCTGACTCAGGTCGCCGGCAGCCGGGCTGCAGCCAGGCGAGGGACAGTCCGGGTCCGGCTGAAGACGCAGCGCGGGAGGGGCTGGGTGGGGGCCGAGACTCCACTGGGGCAGCCAGTGGGGAGCTGCAGCGCCCCCAGGCCGGCACTCACTTCCAAGAGCGGGCCTCCTCGTGCCTCGGCGTCCCTCCGTGGGACAGGATGGTGCCGCCTGCTGAGGGTTTCCGGGCTGTAAGACCCACATCTCCCGGGAAGCACACACAGGTCCAGGCCCCTCGCCGGGCAAACGCTCCTTACGGTGCTCCAGATGTGGTCCCGGCGGCGAGTGCCGAGCGGCTGTGGCGAGGGCTGCAGGGCAGGCAGGCCCGCGGAGGCCCCGTCTGAGCCCCGCCAGACGCCGCTGGCTGCAGAGCGGGCTCAGTAACCCTCATCCTCCTCGCCATCACAGCCGTAATCTGTGGGGCGCAGAGGACAGCGGTGGACACCCTGCGGCGCTGCCCACCCTCCTGGAGGCGCTCAGGCCCCCCACCGTCGGTGAGGCCCGCCATGGCGGCGGCGTCACCTCCGCAGGGCCCTTCACCTCCCAACAGAGCACCCGTGTGATGGGGCGCCCCCCCCGCGGCGCAGACACAGCCGACCCACAAGCGCCTCAGTCCCAACCTCCTTCCGGAGTGAAAAGATTTCATGTGAAGCTGAGAGGTCAGAGTTTAGGGGATGGTCAGGAGCAGAGAGTTTGTGCCTTTTCCTCGGAAGCGCCCCACCCCGCCCCACCCCGTGCCTGTCGCCCCCCAACCAGTGTGCAGGGCCCCCTCACCATTGCTGCCCATCATCTGCAGGGCACTGACACAGGGCTCCCCGTCCTCCTCGTCGGGGTCCTCCTCGTCGGGGTCCTCCTCAGGGTGGTAGGACACCGGCCCGCTCTCCACCACCGCTGCGGGCCTGTCGGGCTCGGCTCCCAGGGTGGGCAAGCTCAGGAGGGAGGTCTGCAGCCAAGGGGGGCAGGCTCTGGGAAGCTGCCTGCCCTGGGGGATGGGTGTCACAGAGCCAGCCTGGGCCCCCACCGGCCCCCCGCCGTCTCCTGGACACTTCCCACCCTCAGAGCCCCCTGAGCTCCCAAGCAGCCCCTCCGTCCAGCCCATGCACACCCAGGAACGCCCAGAAAGCCTCTGTTTCTGCCGCGGGCCTCGCAGCACAGCATGAGGCAGATGCGGCAGGCCCGCTCCCTGCCGCCCGCCCCCAGGGCCCCTCCCCTGCCGCCCGCAGGCCTCGGGACAGCCGTGCACGGGCCAGGATAGCCCCCGGTCCCTCCCTGCCAGGGCCCCTGCCCCCGGCTGTGGCCACACAACATACCTCTCCTACAGCTGCCTTCTTGGCTGGCTGTGCAGACACCATGGGCCTCAGCCTAAAAGAAAGCCCAGGGTGGCGGCCTCAGCCCAGGCCGCGGCCACCACTCCGCCTGCAGAGTGCACTGAGCGCCCAGCCCTGGGGTGGGGATGGGCGGCACTCCCTCTCCGACTCCGCTCCCGGGGCTCACTCTGATGTCGCTCTTCCGGGCGGACCCCGCAGGCCTCAGGCCCCTTACCTGTCCCAGCTCCCCCAGCAGTTCCGCCCCCTCTGCCGTGGCTCACCCCCACCCCGCGCCTACTCTGCTAGGGCGGATCCTACGTGCACACAGCCCCTAGCCTGTGTTTGACACACCTCTGCGTGCCCGCCACACAAGGATGCGTGAGTGACCGCACCCGTCCCCTCCGGACGGCGCAGCGGGCCCTAGTCACCGCCCCCACAGGCCAAGCGGTGACGTGCGTGAGCATCGCCACCCCCCCACGCCAGGCCTCGGCACGGTGCTGGGAATGGGGATGGGAGGGGGTCAGCTGCCAGAAACTGGAAATCAGGGTTTTTCTATGAAAACTTCCTTTTTAAAGTTGGCAGCAAACCCAAATTTTAGTTCAAACGCTATGTGAGCCAATGGGAGACAGCCCTGGGCAGATCTGATGTACGTTTGTCATTTGATGAATAAAAACCTAAAATCAGGGGCGCCTGGGTGGCTCAGTGGGTTGGGTATCTGACTCCTGATTTCAGCTTAGGTCATAATCTCAGAGTTGTGAAGTCCGCCTGAGATTCTTTCCCGTTCGTCTCCTTCCCCTCTGCTCCTCCCCCTGCTCACGCTTGTGCGCGCTCTCTCGCCCCCCTCTCCAAAATAAATAAATTTTTTAAAAACGTAATCTAAAATTGTACTGCCCTGGGGCTCTCCAGGCTGTCTGCCCAGCTGTTCTCGGTCAAGGTTCTGGGTGGTCTGCTTCAGGAAGAATGTGTGGGGATGGCAGGGAGTGGCCGCAGTGGGAGGCGCCTCCCCCGGGCCACCCTCGGCCCTGGTCATCCCTATGGCTAGAGAAGAGGAGAGGCCAACAGGGAGGTTCTACTCTCCCTCCTCCAGACCCTCCAAACACAAAAGCCAGGACACCTTCCACACCATCCCTTGCAAGGAACCAAGAGAGGACAGCATCATACCCACATTCCTGGGATGTTGACCTGTCCAGGGTGGGACCCCCCGCCCCCCCACCCCCGAGAGGAGGCAGGTTGTCCTTCCACACCCTGGCCATTGATGCCGTCCAGGCTCAGGGACCCTGCCCCAGGGCCTGTGGGGGCGGAGGCATCCAGGAGGGGCTCAGATGACTGAGTGATATCCACCACTGTGACATGCCAAGAAGCCCTGGGGACACTAGGAATGGATGCTCCAACAGCTTCCAGCAGGCGGACAGGCCCTCCGCAGCAGGGGCTCCAAGTTCTCATGGGAGGCTTCCGTGGGCTCATGCCACAGCAGCGACCCCTCAAGGCCCCACAGAGTCCAGAGCCACCTGAGCACAGGAGGCGGGAAGCTGACCATGTCCACCCACCCGGCTGCACAGGGGTCATGGTGGTCAGTGAGGCAGCCAGCGGGGGGGGGGGTGGTGTCTGGGTCTGGGTCCCATGCCCACCCCCCACCCCTTCCAAGCAGCCCCGGCAGCTGTCTGTGCCCCGTAGGAGGGCCTGTGGACACCTGGAAAGCACGCCCCCCTCCTGGGCCCACAGCACCGCCCGCTCTCCCTCTCAGCCTGATGGCAGACACACTAGGATGGATGGGGCGCAGCTGACCCATGAGACAGGCTTGCCTGGCAACCAGAGGCAGAGCCGGGGCTCCAGGAAAGCAGCCCCCTGCACCACGGACAGGGTGATGCACCCCCTCTAAGGGCAGTCTGAGAGGAGGGGGACCCTGTGGTCTGAGGACTCCCGAGGGCTCAGGGTCCCCTAGCTGCTCCTCACAGTCTGAGAGTCCACTGAGCAGGCGGAAGCCAGGCTGGGGGTGCGTCTCCTCAGGCCCCAGACCACAGTCAGAAGGGAACACAGGGTTGCCAGACAGTGACAGGCTGTGCTGGGTGCTCGGGGACCCAGGGGCTCGGGGAACGAGGAAATGGAAGACTCCACTTATAGAAAGAGTGTCACAAGGGGCACCTGGCTGGCTCAGTTGGAAGACCTTGTGACACTTGATCTCAGGGGTTGTGAGTTCAAGCCCCATGCTGAGTGTAGAGATGACTTAAGTTAAAAAAAAAAAAGTCACAAAACCATGAAAAACATTTACTCTGAATTACGAAAAAAAAAGGCAAACCAGAACACTTTTCCTTCTCGGATGAATCACGGTTAGAAGCTGCTAACGATGGGTATCTGGGGCAGAGGTGGGATGCAGCCGGGCCGCCCCTCCAGGCAGCCCCTAAGCTCCCAGGCCATCCAGGGGCAGCTCTGCGCTGGGTGCATGACCTCGAGGACCAGCTCAGGCACGGCCGGGACCCTCGGGACCACGGTGCCTGCCTGCAGCCACCTGAAGGCAGGCCACAGCGCGGGGAGCCGTGCAGAGCTGTCTGGACCCGTCTGTGCAGGGCGCTGCCCCACCAGGAGAGGCACCTGGCCGCAGCCCACGGCTTCTCTCCCGTCCTGCTCACCCCCTTCAGCAGTCTGCTCTCTGCCCTTCCTTCTCAGCAGCCAGGGGAGGGGTGCACAGAGGGCCCCTCCCAGGAAAACAGACTGGCTCACCTGCTCCCTGAGACAGAACACACCCTGCAGAGTAGGGGCCCCCTCCTCAGCCCCCAGCCCTGCATGCAAACAGGAGCCGGCCAGGGCAGCGGGTTCCGCGTGAGACCCAGCATCCAGGTGGGGACTGCACCCCCAGGCCTCCCGCCCCTGCCCAGATGCAACGCCTGGCCTGCCTGGTGCGGTACCTTTTCCCCACGCTGCTCATGGAGTCAGTTCCGTTCCTGCCGGCAGGCATCTTCCTCCGAGACAGCTTCCGGGCACTGGCCCGCTCCTCGGGCTGCGCGTCCTCCCCCTGCAGGCTGCCCCCACCCTTGCTGTTGAGGTCCCGGAGCACGCTGTAGTTGATCTTGCTGGAGATTTTCTTCTGCTCCAACATCTTTTCAATGGCCTCCCCGGCCGTGCTGGCCTGGATCGGCTCCCGTCGCTTACAAGACTTCTTGGGCTCAACGGAAACAGAAGAGTTACCGCCCCCTGGGAATCTCAATGCCCACAGACCTGCTAGGTGCCTTGTGGGGGGGGGGGGGCACCGCCAGCTGGACACCGTGGGGGGAGGGGCCGGGCAATCAGAGTCAGCTGGGTACCCCTGGCCCCAGGAGCTGAGGTGTGCAGGGCCCGGGCCCCCAGAGGACGGCTCCGACCTTCTCCTCTCATAAGGTGGAAGCCAGCCCCCGGCCATCAGCGGGGGAGCTGTGGGCAGGTCTCAGGGTGTGCGGCCAGCTCAGTGAGCCCCTCGGGAGGGGTCACCCAGAAGCAAACGCTGAGCTGCCCATGAGCCCGTACGGACACGTGGCTGTGCTGGATGCTACGGCCACCCGAACAGGGCGGAGTAGGGTGCCGTGCTCGGGACAGGTCACCCACCATGGAGGGACCTCGTCCTGGGTGCTGCGCCACCTACAGGAGCCCAGCTGTGCCTCCTGCCCACCAGCCTGCCCACCACGCTGCTAGGGGCCCCAAGCCCTGACCCCAAGCTGCAAGCCCTCCTCCGGAAAGGTTCTTGAGCAGACCAGCAACCTGGTCTGGGCATGCCCGGCTCCTGCCTTTGTTGCTCAGAGGCTCAACCACTCCCCAGCTCAGCCTTGCAGCCAGAGTCCCCGTCCAGCCACACAGAAGCAGCAAGCCACATTTCTGTGACCACCCATAGGATGGGCGTGACAAGCAGGCTTTCCCAGGTCCCAGACAGGGTCCCAGAGGTGCAGCAAGGCCCTCAGTGGAGGAACTGCCACCCTGGGGGCCCTCGCAAGACTTGGGGAGGGGCAAGGCTGGTCTCCACACACATCGAACGAGTCCTACCTTGTGCTCCTTGTAGATGCCAAGCTCCTTCTCCTTCGCGATTCTTGCTTCTTTCTCTAAAAAGTCCCCAAATGGCAGGATCAGCAAGGGCCCTGGAGCCCAGGACCCTTGGCAGGTGGGCGGGCACTTACCCCTCTGCTCCCGCAGGTACTCGGCGTTCTCCCGCATCCACAGCTCGGCCTTCACACGGGCTTCCGCCTCGTTCAGGATGTACTGGGCAGAGCACAGCATCACACTCAGGTCTCGGCCACCAACAGGCTTGCCACACGCACAAGCCGGTCAAGGGTGGGCCTCTGACCCGCAGGGCTGCAGGCTCGTTCCTGGGAGCCAGTCAGGGACATCTGTCCTCCCCCACCCTTTCCAAGGCCGATAGCAGGGGCTGTGTCCACAAACGGGCACGCGGACATAGGGGCCGGGCCGGCCAGAGTGCGCGGACATGGCCGCCTGGGGCCCCTGACGGCACACAGAGTGCATGTGGACGCTCACCCTGTCAATCTCCAAGTCGTCGATGCCACTGAGGTCCAGCTCGCCATCCCCACACCCGTCCGCTACGGGGAAGCACAGCGCCAGGGTCATTTGGGGTCAGGTTCTGGTGAGCAAGCGTAGACGTCCCCTGGGCGGTCTCAGGACCCCTTCCAGGGTAGGAGGCCCCTCCTCTGGGACCTCGGCTCTGGCCATGGGCTGAGGGAAGCCCCCTCGTCGCTGACAGGCCCGGCCCTGCTCCACGTGCACAGTGTGTGGCTTCCACCCCAGGACTGCGTGCAGGAAGGACGCTAAACCAGAGCCACCGGACCTCGGGACTCCCTACGACAGAGGCGCCTTCAGAGCAGGAGAGCAGGCTGTCCGGCTCTCCACCCACCGGCCCAGGAGATGGACCCTCAGTGAGTCCTCAGCGAGTCCTCAGTGATGTGCTCGGGATGTGATCTGGACATCGCCAAACCCTGCTGGCCACCCCCTTCCTCCCCGCCCGGGTCAACAGTACAACCTGCACGGCCCGGAAATCACGGGTGGCCCGCCTACACCCAGTGGGCTAGGCGGGATGCTCCGCAGTCAGGCCCCGGGCAGGCTCCCCTGGCGCTCACACTCTGCTCGTACCCTCCCTCAGTTCCTACAAGAACGGTCTGTCCCTGCCTCGGGGCCTTTGCATAGGCCCTCTGCCCAGTCCACCGCGGGACTCACCTCGTGGTACAACCTGCATGTGCTTAACTGACGGGCTCAGGCTGCGCCGTGTCGCGGCCCCACCCACCCGAGACACCACTGCCATCAGGGCAGGTTGCGTGCCTGCCTGTCACCCGGCTCAGAAGCACGTGATAAACGTCTGTGCAGCGCACCCTCACGGGGGCCCCTGGCACACGGAGACCAAGCCCTAGGCGCCCAGGGACAAGGCAGGGCCTGTCTGCAGCCTGGGGGCACCTGGGGGGTCAGTCCTGGCAGATGGCCAGAACCCGCTCTCGGCAGTAAAATGTGGCAGAACCAAACGGGCCTTCCTCCCAGAGCTGCCAGCGCCCCAGGCCATCCTCCTGCTCAGGCACCTCCACACTGCCCATGCTGGAGCCTGGCGGGTGGGCCATGCGTGGGGACTGTGCCCTCAGGCAGCACTCGCCCTTGGCTCAGGGAGACGCAGGACAGGCAGGGAAGCCAGTCCCTGTCCCCGTGCAGGAGGCTTCACATGGACAGGAAGGAGCCTGCGGCCACAACCCAAGCAGTAGGTTCTGGCCGGGCCCTGAGCCAGTGGGCCAGGGACAAGGGTTCTGGAGGCGGCAACAAGCCCTGATGGGATTCGGGGTGTCCGCACACAGTGGGGTCAACAATGGCTTGCACCACCCTGCACGGCGCCCCTCCCCTGCCCACCCTTCCGTGAGGCTGCACCCCAAAAGCAGCACCTCCATCTTCCACAGATGGGGAGGGGTGCCACTGCACCCACCAGAGGAGCCCCCTTCCTCTCCCCATCCACCACCCATCCCCGGGCCTCCCAGGCACTCACTGGGGTCCTGGCTCTGGGAGGAGATGCACTCTCGGATGGAGTCCGAGATGCCCAGGCTGGCTGCCGTGGGCAGGGGGCCGAGCAGGGACTCCAGGGCCGGGGGCCCCCTGCCCCCCTCGGGGTCTCCTGCCACCTCGGAGCTGCTGGAAATGCTGCCGCCAAGCAGCTCTTGGTAGAAATCCTTGTTTAGGTGGCTGGCGACAGCCTCCAGCTCCTCATCCTCGGGGTCCTCCTCACCAAATAAGCTGGACGTGGAGTCCTCGACGGAGCCTACGGACACAACGTCACACAGCCTGTGAACCAGGCAGAGAGCCAGAGCCCCACCTCTGTGCAGACAAACACGGCTGTCGGCTGCAAAAGGCATTTACTTCCCTAACTTCAGTGACCGAGACGCACCTTGTCACCGAGGCTGCCCCACATCCACGCACCCACGAAGAGCCCTTGGCCTACACACCTCACACTGCACGGAAATTGACTCAAAACAAACAGAACAGCTAAGAAAGAAATTTCCCATTCGGAAAACGATGGCAGAAAACACCTGTGGCTTCGAATTGGGCAAAACTTCCTGGATGGGACACTGACAGCAACCCCTAAACCACCAAGCAGGATCGCGTCAAACGAGACCTCCGCCCTCCCGTGAGCGCCGTTGTGTCTGGAGCACGCAAAGAACGCTCAGGGCTCCGTGAGACGAAACCACACGACACGACCAAACCCCGGCAGAAGGCCTAGGGCGCCACCTCCCTCCCACCAGGCCAGGGGCAGCGCCGGGAAGCAGCTCCCCCCCCGTGGGGTGTGCACAGCCTGGCTGCGTCAGAGAAGGCTGGGCGGCTTCTCGAAGGCTGGGGCGCGCGCGCAGGACAAGACCGAGTAAACGTCCACACAGACACTTGCGCACAAACGTTCACAGTGCCGTGTGTGCAACAACGCAAACCTAGAAACCCCCCAAATGTGCTGCAGTCCCGGCTGTTTCAGCCCCCTGCGTGTGTTTAGGGCACCACAGACAGGGGGCTGTGCTCGCCGACCAGAGCCGGCCCCCAGGGCACAGCAGCCAGAGGGGAATCCGGACACGCCGCGCCATCCCACGGACACGAAACTCCAGAAAGCACGACTGACTCTGGGGGCAGCGAAGGCCCGAGGGTCCTGGGGGTGCACATTCACGATCTCGGCTGTGATCTCGCACACCGCAATGGTTTTGCGATGTGCACGTTTGTCGAGATTTACCAAGGCCTGCATTTTAGATTTGCGATTTGTCGTACGTGAATTACGCCTCCGTGAAATTTGTTAAAAACTCACTCAACAGAACGATTAAGTACATCTCAGAACCCCTCACTCCAGTTTCTAACGTGCAATACTGAAAGCTCACAGTAAGCACCGAGGCTCCCACAAGCGCGAGGACGTTACATCTTCGGGAATGTTTCTCTGGGGGCAGAAAACCGTCCGATTCCCTGTGAGCAGGAACATTGTGTAGGGTGATGATCCTTCCGGATAAATCCGCCGCACCTCTGCGCTGATGTCTGGGCACCCCTGCCTGAGGGCCAGGCCCAGGCCTCAGCTGCCGCGTGCCCTGGACGTCCGCACTCCCGTCCTGTCAGCTGGGCCCCAGGAGCACCTGCAGAGTCCAGCCTCCCCCAGGCCGCATCGCTCCCAAACCCCTGCCACTCCCACGGCCGACTCTCCCCTTCAGCCTGAGTCAGACCGTGTTGTCCCCTTGGCCCCCGTTTGGGACCTCCTATGGCCCCCGCTGCACCCCATGTGAGCACCAGCCTCCCCCCATGCAGCTGCAAGGCTCCCTCCCTTCCCCAGGCCTCTCCCGAAACATTGCCTGCCTTTGCCGGTCCCTTCAGTACTGCGTGTCAGCTGATGGCCCTGCAGGGAGGCTGGCAGGAGGGTGGCCCGCTGCCTGCACCCCCACGGCACGTCATGGGAGCCGTGGCCTCCTTGTCAGTCAGACCTCCTGTGACCCAAAGCAGCTGGACAACCCCACCTAGTTTTGGGCTCGGTCCAGACAGAGGGGATGAAACGTCTGCCATCCCGATGACACAGAAAGGGTCTGGATAACCAGACTGTGGGGAGCTAGGAAGAGGGACGCGTCCCTGACGTTCTCGTCAGGAGAAAGGGTGTGAGAAGCTGAGCCCAGGGCAGGAGGCAGGGTGGCCTGCTGGTGGCAGACAGCCGGCCGGCTTCTTAGCAGCCGGGGCAGTGCACGCAGATGCTGCCCAGGAAATGGCATGAAGAAAACTCCAGATGCAAAGCCAGGCCCCCCCAGAGTGCAGAGAGCACCACCACCGAGTCACGGGCGGATGGAGACAGGCTCCGACCGCTAGAGGAGCAGAGCTTCTGGCTGGGGCACGAAGCAGCACCCAACCCCGTGCTGGCCGGAAGAGGAGGGCCCAGCGGAGGGGCCGGGCTGGGGAGCAGAGCAGAACGTGCACCCTGGCGGAGGGACCCCACATCCCCCAGAGCCAGACTCCACACGCGCGCCCGCCCATCACAGAATGGCAGCTGCAGGTGTCGCAGTGAGGCAAGCCGTCCTCGAGGGCCCACGGGCATCCCCAGCCACAAACACAGCCGACCACACGCCCGCGCACGGCGATAAGCGTGGACGTTTACACAGTGACCGGAAAACAAAAGGCACTGCCCCCGCCCCCGGATGGTAAGTCCCCCCCGGGAACCTCAGCATCAGAGAGAAACGAGCCGAGACCCCGAGCAGCACAGAGCTCTGGCGCGGCTCATGGGTTTCCTGCACGCATACGCCCCAAACGCCAGAGCAAACCCGTCAAGCTGCGACCCCAAAGGTCAGAACGTGCGTGAGGCCGGAAGGGGCAGAGGGAGAAGGGGCAGGTGCCGACTCAGCAGACAGGAGGCCGCATGATGAATGAATCAATGCAAACGCAGCACTCGTGAGAAATCAGTACAAGCCAGAACACAAAACCAGGTAAACAAATGGGGAGAAAAAACACACTCACTCGACTGACAAAATCAAACACATCCCGAGACGCAGCTTTGCCCAAGTCCGTGCAGACCGTGTGTGGGCCGGATGCCAGGCGCCCCCGGGGGGCAGGTCACACTCACTGAGCCCAGAAAACCCTACGTTCTCTCCCCAGGCCCTGCAGAAACTCACCGACAGCCGAGGCAACACCCAGTGAAAACCGTGAGTGGGCGCATCCATCTCAGGGCAACGTGGCACCTCAGCCCAAAGCCTGCACCGTGTCCTGGGCGGCACCCGGGCCACGTGCCCACTGCCACCACTGTGACTCAGCAGGCGCTGGGGGGCCCGGCCATGGCCTGGGCGTTGGGGGACATCAGGGGCCCGAAAGTCGGTGGCAAGCACAAAGCAGCATTTTTTGTAGAAGACATGACTGCTCACGTGGAAAACCCAATGACCGAGCACGTGCCCTCAGAAGAGCGGAAACAGAACTCCCGACCCACAGGCACACACAAGCGGCACCTGGAGCAGCACCGAGCAGCCAGACACCAGGGGAAGGACGCTGCTCACGGCGGCAGCACAGGGCAAGGGGCTTGGTCCACAGGGCAGCTGGGGAACACCTATGGGACAGCAGATGCCCGCTCTTGGGAGAGGGTCAACAGGGCGCTGGGCCAGCCAAGCAAGAGGAGTCTCAGGAGCAAGTGAGGAAATGAGTTAAGAAAGACCGCAGACCCTGGAGGAGCAGCAGGCAGACTGTCGGGAAACGTGGGCAGTAAGCGTGGGCTACGACACCAGCTCAGCACCAGGCCGGGCGAACCAGAGAGACGGTACAGCGGGGGCCCAGCTGCAGACCTACAGACGGGGCCGTGAGGACTGGGAAGGAAGGCGACGTGGGAGCGTCCGGGAGAGAGAGGAGCACAGGGTGTGGAAAAGATCCACGCAGAACACGCACAGGAGCTCTGTGATGCCCCAGGCTGGAAACAGATGCGTGGCAGCCACGACGGGGAGGAGGTAGCCCCGCAGCAGCCGAGGAAGGCACAGAGCGGGCAGCGGCAGAACAGTCTGCAAGGAAGATCTGGGTGCTGAGGAGCAGCTCCCCTGAGGGCTAGAACCTGGGGGGACGGGGCGGGCAGCTGGACACTCAGCACGCAGCACGTCAGGGCCAGGAGGCGGCTGGCGGCCGGGACCCTGTAAAGGAGGAGCCCACGGCCCTGGATGGGTGGCAGCAAGTAGGGGTGGAGGTCAGCCGGCAGGGCAGTGCCTGGCGTGGGTGACACGAGTGGGGCCGGCCCCTCCAGGCCGCGGGGGACGCGGCTGGACTCACCATCCCTGGTCAGGTTGGCGAGGGCCCCCTTCGCCTTCGGCCGGCTGTTCTCCAGCTCGATCTCGATGGCATCCTGATAGCTGGATATCTCACCTGAAGGGAGTGACGGCACACAGTGAGCACAAACCCACTTTTCTAGGGACCCCGGGGCGCCTGTCACCGCGAGGTCAGTCGGTTACCTTCAACGTCCTCCAGTTTCTTGGACAGGACTTGTTCAAGCTGAAACAAAGCAACGAGAACGTTCAGCAAAGAGACGAGGCGGCCGTGTGGGGAAGCAGCGTGCTTCACAGTGGTGCCCGGGGTCCCCAGCCCTCCCGGCACACGCACCCCACCAGTGCCCCACAGGAACTGTACTTGGAGCACCCAGGACGGCCGCAGGGAAGGCATGGGGCCATCGAGGGACCTGGCACCCTGCATGCCACCCCCCGGCCAGCGGCAGGGGTGCCCCTCCTGCACCCCCAGGGCTCATCCCCTAACCCCACCCGTCTGTCCGCCTCTCCCTGCACACACCGTGTGGACACAGACCCAGTCTGGCCTTTGTAACTAAGCCACTTGTTTCAAAATGAGAGCGGGACACACGACATCTAGAAAACGCCGCGAGACGCCGCGTGCAGCAGGGCCGGCGTGGCCAGGCCAGCGTGGGGCCCACCTGCTTCATGCGCAGCTTCCGCTGCCCTGCCGTGTATGAAGGGGGGTCACATTCCCCCTCCAGGTCGATCTTCATGAACTCATCCACGGTCAGCTGGCTCGTGGGCGTGTCTTCAAACTCTGTCAGCCTGCAACAACAGGGCCCCTGGAGAGAGCCGGTGGCAGCCCGGCCACACTCGGCCACGAGCCCTACTCGCCATGGCCAACAGCCGGGCCCCGGGGAGGAAAGGCTATGCACACTTGTCGCTCCCACTGGGGACTCAGACGAGGCCCAGACGGAAGGAGGCCAAGCCAGCAGCCCTAAGTGGTCACCACCTAGAGGTTAATTACTCACGTCTTACACGATCTACAAAACGTTTAAATTGAAAAAACTTTTTTTCCATAGAAAATTTTTAAAGAGAATTAGAGATCAAACATGCAAAATGCTTTTCTTTCTGCCTTTGAAAAGTGCCACAGGATACGCTCTCACTTGAGAAACCGCCAGCAGACGTGGCAGTTTCTAGGTGAAAACACCGCAATGACAGGTGTGCTACTGATCGGGCTTGCGGCTGTCCCACTACAGCCGACGCTGGCGCTGCGCTCCGCCACCCCGCCAACACCGCACCCCGCAGCCGGGGCCCTCTGCCTGAGCCTGGCTTCCCCGGGGGTGGGGCCAGTCACTGGGCTCTCGGTCCACCCCAACCTACCCCAACCGGGGGTGCAACGGCCCCACTGCGTGGCGCCAGGAGGACTGACCAAGACCCGGGAGGGAGGCGGGCAGCCCCTCTAGCCCCCGGGCCGTCCTGGGTCCTGGCCAGACCAGCAGGTGGCAGGACCGTGGACGTGGGTCCGACCAGCAGACAGATGAAGTCACGAACGAGAGCCACCCACCTCTTGCGCAGTGTGGACTCGCACACCTTGACCACGCTGATGACCTCTTTGACGGTTCTCCGGAAATCGTGCATCCTGGCTGCAACCAGAAGTGCTGGAGAGGAGCGCAACAGCGAGTCAAGCCTCGGGACGGGGTGGTGAGACCCTGCCCGGGGGCCTGTAGGGAGCGAGGCCCCGGCCTCATGGTGGGTAATGGTTATGCAGTGTATGCGAGGGTCCCAACGCCCAAAAGCCACTCACTGCTTGGTGTGCAACTCCGCCATGGTTGAGGACCACAGAAAGTGCTGTGTCGCACGTTGTGTGTCAAACACAGAGAGAAGGAAAACACATCTAGAACCCTGTGTGACCCCTCACAGTCAGTGAGCAAACCCCGAGGTGACTCAGACAGGCACACCAGCTGGCAACGGAGGGGAGGATTCTGGGTACACAGCCAGGTTGCAGAGAACAGGGACTGGGCCCCGTGGGGTGGCCGTGGCCGGGCTGACCAGGAGCAGCCCAGAGTCGGCAGCACACTGGGAGATGATTTTTGCTGGTAGCTGAGCATGGGAACGCAGACCCTTGGCATTCCAGGAAGCACTGGAGCCCAGGGGCGGGGGGTGGTCGTCAAGAGGTAAGGGCCACCAGAAAGGAGGAGGGGCCTGCTGGGGAGGACTCCAGGCCCAAGGGCTACGTCAGACCCCAAGGCATCGGGGACAGAGCTGGAGGACGCAGAGGGAGACCGGACAGCTACCCTTTGGGGGACTGGGAAGTACCCTCTGTAGTAACGACTCGGCACTGGGGGCAGGGCAGGGCTGGCCGCACGGGAGCCCTTGAGAGCCAGGTTAGCTCTGGAGACAGCCCACCCCATCCACGGCCAGCAGGGCCTGGCCAGCCTGACTCCGGGGCTGTCCTACCTGCTCCGCAGAGGCCCGAGGGGCGCCGGCCAGTGTGCATCCAGTCCCTCTTCATCCTCTGCAAGAGCCTCAGGGCCGTCATGGACACCTCGTGGTTCTTCTCCCCAAACTCCAGCAGGTGGGCAAAGCGTGGGATGTACAGGCACGGGTCTGCCGCAGACACACGCGCCTCAGTGCCGCCCAGGACGCGTCCACCCCCTGCTCAGCAGGCTTCGTGGAACGCGCATGTTCCAGATCCGGGAGGCACACGAAAACCACACAGCGCGATACCCACCCTCAGGGTATCCTCCCAGTCTGTCCACTGCACAGCTTCCCTGATCCTCGGCTGGGGGCTGCTCGCCCACATCCCTCCCACAGCTGCCGCGCGGGGTCACCCCACGTGCTCGTGTATGCGCGTACACACTACCTTGCCGTTTTGTTCAGCGTTCTGCGGATCACAACTGAGTCAGAGCCTATTTCTTACCTAACTCTCGTGAAACATAAGCTGTATCTTCTGCCCTTTTGTCTACAGGCATGCAAGCAGCTCTTTAAACAATCGTACGTTCCTTAGCAAGGGAAGGCTCAGGAGGGACCCGTGCACGCACACACACACTCTCCGTCCCTCATGCCCTGCTCCCTGGAAGACCCCTGGCCTAGGCTTTAGGGAGAGTCCAGCTGCCAGGTAACCTCATGAATCCAGCGGCCTGCTGCGCTGCCAGAGGAGCACGGAAGGAATCATGCAGGGCCCCCGACAGAACCTCAGGGGCAAGACTTGCTTTGGACAGGCTCATCGGGAAGGCCTCGCTGAGGCTTGAAGAGGGGGTGCCCTGAGGGGGCCACAGGCCAGCCAGAAAGCAGCCATGTGCTAGCAGATGGTGACCGGCAGGACCCTGCTCTCCACCAACACCAAGCACCCCCCTTCGGGGCCTCGGCCCAATCACTTCTCCCAGCCTCCCGGCATCTACGTCACTGAGCTCTGGCCCCTGGAAGTCCCATGTAGGGCTACAAGCACCCCGTCCTCCCTCTGCCCATCTTGGCTCACATAAAGGACCATGGGAGATGGGCACAGCCCCTGAAGCAACCTGGGTCCCCAAGGACGGCGAGGACCCGAGGGACATCCCCCACACCGACTGCAGGGGCTGAGCTGGCGAGCGGCTGCCACTCATCCACCTTTCCCTGAGGCCCTGGGTGCTGCGGTCTCTGGAAAGGTGGGTCCTGTGCCGGGCAGGCTGGACGGCAGGTGGAGCTCTGGTGGGGCAGCACGACCGAGAGGCGCAGCCCGGCACAGTCTCCTGGTGCATCTGTCTCCAAACTGTCCCGAGCAGCTTCTAGATGTGCGGGCTTGTATTTCAAGAATTCAGCAGTGTCAAAGCTTTCACTTCTGGTTCTGGTGTTTACATTTCATCGAAAACAGTCCGAAACCCTAATAATATTACTTCTAAAGCATTTCTGTTTTGTCTCCATAATACGTCTCTTAGCAACCACATCGCAGACAAAAACCCAACCAAACAGAACAAGGCCCGTGGCGGAGGGGTGCCGTCGCTCCAGACTGCCCAGGCTCAGCGCCGACCGCCTGTGGCGGGAGCCGTGAGAGGACACTCCGACCAGACAGGGAAGGCAATAAACCCCAACACATCACACAATCTAGGCGAAGCCCTCTCACCAACTGGAAGAAAAAGGCAAAACCCAGGACGTGCTGTTTACAAGAGACACTAAAGCGTGAGAGGGAACGTGACGCGCCGCCCCGGAGAGAGGGTGGTGACGTGGCTGCAGGGACGCGGGGCAGGGGGCCCTGAAAGGGGCTGAGAAGAGGACTTTATGCCAGAGGGCAAACCACCTCACAGGAGGCCACGAAGCCACACGCCTGTGGATGCACCCAACACGGCGGCAACTGAACGCAGCAGGGGGCGCTGGAAACAGCAAATCTGAAAACCACAGCCGTGTGAGATTTAACACGGTTCTGTCCAACTCAACAGACGGTGAAGGGGAAAGGACAAAACGAGGAATGGGTTGGCATCACCGCGGGCTCCATTTACCCAGTACCCTGCAAAGAGGAGCCATGCTTCTCCAAAGCCTGTGCAGCAGGGAGGTAACCCTCCCAGGACGCTCTGCCTCAAGGGCCAGAAGAGTACAAATTAGCAAGAAAGAGACAAGTACGGTCCCCTCCCCTCCAAACAGTGACCAGGGCGCCTGGGTGGCTCCCTTGGTTAAGGGTCTGACTTGGGCTCAGGTCATGATCGCCCAGTCAGGCTCCGCGTGGAGCATGGAGCCTGCTTAACGTTCTCTCCCTCTGCCCCGGCCTCGTGCTCGCTCGCTCTCAAATACATAAAATCCCTAAAGACAGAAACGATGAACCAAAACATAACGAACAACACAGGAAAAATGCCCAAAGTGGGCAGAAAAGAACAAACAGAAAGGGGCAGAGAAGCTGCAGCGGCGGGGAAAGGATTTTACCACCGGAGCGCCAGCAGCCGGCGCGGGGCCCGGACGAGAGACAGGCCGCCGGGGGGCCGCGGGAGCGGGGAGCGGGGCTCAGGCACACCGCGCCGGCAAGGGCTCCCCGGAGGCGACAACAGCACGCACAGACGACCCACAAGGGAGCGCGCGCGCACCGTGCCTCCGGCGAGGGCTCGCGACCGCCTCGCACGCCCGCGCGTGCACACACGTGCGTGTACACTCGCGCCCGCGGGCACACAGCCGGCCATCGGGCGCGGACCGTGCGCGCGCGAGCGGAGGCTCCCCAGCGCTCCTGCCGGCGCCGGCGCCAGCCCGCGGGGCGGTGCCGCCCAGGCCCCGGGCGCGCA